GTGTGCTCTTCCAGCTCCGGGGCAAATTTTTTTTAGTGGCCCCTATTTAAAAAATTTTTCTGGAAAAAAGTTTTTCAAACTGCAACAATCTCCCCTCCCCCGTCGACAACTTTTTAGGGAAAAAATTTTTCTGGACGAGTACGTTGCAATTGCTTTCCAGGGACTTACCCACCCATCAACTTGCTTCACTACTTCAAAGTCTTGCTTGACTACAGTATTTGAATTGTAATTGTTGTTCACAGTTCGCTTATCATCATGTTATTACTCAAATTACTGAATCTCATTTTGTCTCTAATAATTTTTTGCCTTTATCATGAAAAATAGCATCCCCCTGCACCCCCCTGGCCAGGGCTAGGGGGGGGCCCCCCCCCCCCCCCCAGTAAATCCATCCCTGCTATAAGGTATACCTGTTTTTGGCCGATCTTATAGCCACGGTTTGTGGCTGTAAAGGATGACCCTGGCTTTGGGGCAATAGGCCTTTTTTTTCTTCAGTGGTGGGGCAGAGGAAGGGGCCCAGTGGGGCAAATGCCCCACCAGTCCATGGTATTAAAAAATGCCTTGCCTGTTTTCGGCATTCCTTATAACCACGGTTTATGGCTAGTAAAGGATGCCCGATTACTGTTTTTCACTGGCTGTGTAAATGACTGTGTATATGATGTTTGTAATGTTACTCTGAGTGTATATCCACACCGGGCAGGCTTGAAAAATATGCCTGGCCACGGTGGGAGTCGAACCTACGACCTTTGGAATACCAGCCCAATGCTCTGCCAACTGAGCTACGCGGTCAGGTCGGTTCGAGTATGGATATATGCCCGGTGTGGATATACATTCAGAGTAACATCACAAGCATCATATTCACCTGCATGAGTACATTACACCAACACAGCAAATATCATGACTGTGTATATGATTACTGTTTTTTATCATGACTGGCTGTGTATACCATAGATATCTTATATACACTAGATAGTGCATCTAATTTTTCTGCAATTCAAAAATTGAAGCCGTGATTGCAGACCGCTGGAATATTCTTGGCTTCAATTCTACTAAAAGAGATGCGCTATCTAGTCTATATAAGATATCTATGGTGTATACGAGTATGAGCACATACTATCATGAAAAGACAATATTTGTTCCCAGTCTTCTTTGTAGATTGCAGTCACTCCATCACACTTTGGACACCAGTTTCCCTTTACTTGCGCGCCCTCTGGAAAATATCCACAGTCAAGTTGATAAGGTATTGGTGAATAAGCCATGACTATCTTGAATGTATGCTAGAAAATATTATATAAGGATAAATAGTTTTACTACAGGACGTACGTTGAAGGATGTCAGTTTCGCAAAGAGGTCAAAATGTCGAGATCGAGCTTCTTTCAATCAGTGGCGTAATTCCTTTGGGCGCCCGGCTAGCTCAAGCCTGGGGACCCAACTACATACGTAAGAACGCATAAGTTGTTCCAGGTCTGCAAACAAGTTGTTACAAATCTATCCCTAAGCTGTCGACAAGTTGTGTTCGCACTGCTTGTTCCCAGTTGTTCAAACAAGTTTGGAACAAGCCCTGTCACACTATTGCGTATCGTACTAGCGTATGCCAGCGTATGAAAAATATCACTCATACGCCGGTATACGCTGACATACGCTAGGGGTACGTTAGGCATAGATTGTATACGTGTCAAGCACGGTCGCATACGGTGGCATACGCTGGCATACGGCAAGGCGAAATTCTTTTTTAAGCATGCTCAAAAATTTTGTGCGTATCGGACGTATGCTTTATACGATAAGCATACTCTAGGCACACGCTGAATACGCTAGAGGTACGCCAGATGTACGGTACTCATACGCTGGCATTTCAAAGGAATTTTGTGCGTATGAAAATTATTTCATTAATTTTTATACGCTTCTCATACGTTTCTCTCATACGCAATAGTGTGACAGGGCCTTAAAGCAGTATCTTCACTTTATGTCAATTTACTTATGTCAAGCTTTTATGCACTTGTATGTTCAGTAGAGTGCTGACGCATTCAGATTCTAACCGGTACGATATTTCAATATGACACACAAGCATGAATTAAGCGAACTTGCCGATAAAAATTAATCAATAGCCCTATTCACATTAGAGACGAACAAGTCGTCTAGACGAACAAATCGTCTCTCAAAAATCGTCTTCACAGACGGACAAGCAGTCGAACAAATTCAGACGACTTGTTCATCTAAAAGTTTGTCTGACTAAAAGACGATTTTGAGACGATTTGTTCGTCTAGACGACTTGTCCGTCTTCTAATGTGAAAACGGCTAATTGTGTTTTGAAATATACCAGTAGCATACCACGTGAATTAACAGTCAGTCTTTCAATGAAGTTTGAATTCTTCCCCCGTTTTACCTCATACTATACGTCTGTCGTTGTTTTAATAAACTCTGTGACCTATTTTCCAGATTCTGGTAAAGAAACCCTCTTTCTAAATCAAAGCTTGTCCAAAATTTTACAATAAAAACCCTGTACCATGCCAGCAAGCATAACATATGACCAAGCTGTCTTGCAGTTCAATTACAAAATATGCAAATTTCTTTCGTTTAAAATTAATTAAGATTCCAAACTTTCCCTTGGGACATACACGCAAACGATTTTCATTTGAATAATTTTCTTTTAGCCCTCTCACGGACTGAAAAGAGAAGCAATAAAGCATGGTTTTCCTCAGATTTTTACGAATACAGAACAGAAACTATGTTCCAATTTCATTTTGTTTTGGGGCTTTTTGGGGCCGATTGCATAAAACTCCGCACTACATTTTAACCACTATTTTGTGGTAAATTTTGTGGTAAACTCTAAAATTACGCGTCAGTTGAATGTGTTCATACAAGGTTGTTGAGTTCAACAGACTTGTTAAAAGTTATTCCAACACAGGACCGTTCCTAGACGCGATAATTGGGGGAAGGGGTGGTGTATATTCATATATTCATGTTCACATACCATAAGAACACGAATATATGAATATACCCCCTCCAATTATCGTGCTAGGAACGGCCCTGTTCCAACAACTCGTTATCGTCCTGCAATTAGGGACCTTAAGCAAACAGGACGGCAACGCGACGACGACGGCTATTCACACAATGATATTCCTGATCTCGTACACGAGAGATCTCACCTCACGGGAGTTAGAGACGTTGTGTTATGCGGGCCTTTTTACAACGGCAAACTAGAGATTTTCACGTCTCGTGTACAACGCAAACATGTCAAGACGCGACAAGTGAAACTACAAATTTACTCAGCAGAAGCGTTCTTAACCATAAAGTCTTTGTTTTAATCTCTTCAAACTGAACTCAATTCATATATACATGCATTGGATAATACACAACAACTCTTCTTCGCAAGAATTTATTTGAAGTCAAGAAATTTGTTTTGGCTGCTTAAGGTCCCTATATAAGTTGTCAGTGACAACCAGAGCCGTACGCAGGATTTTTTCACCTGGGAGGAGGGGCGGGGGGGGGGGAGGGGCAGTAAGGCCTATATGCCGAAAAAAGTCCCAAATATCCAAAGAATAATTAAGACAACCTTGTAGCAACTTGATAAAATAAGAGTGTTGTTACAACTTGTTGACAAGCTTGCTGCAAGTCTGTTGCGAACACATCTTGTTGACAAGTTGTGAGATTTTTTACGTGCGTACCTTACGAATTTCCTCAGCAATCCCTGCCGGCATTTTCACACGGGATTCACACAGCACGACGATACTATCATTTTCCACCAATGACAGCACAGCTTTCATTGCACGTGACCTCTTGTCCACTCCCTCTAGTAACACGACCTCACTCCGATCTATGTCCGAGCTTCGAAGTCTTGCTTCGTAACTCCGACGTTGTTGTTCGTCGCATGCCGTCATTAGGAGCCTAAAATTAACTTCGAGTGACCTCTGCAATAGCTCAATAATATTTGCAATAAAATATAACCCCCAGGGATGATCATTTCTCGAGCAATCACTCAAAAACACAAAACTCAGAGTTACTTCCCGATCCCATTGATAGCCTGGCGGTCGGCAAAATTCAAGTTGGTTTTCATAGTAATACACCCATAGATATTCGTTGAATCTCTCAATGTAGTCCAAGGCATCAACAGTTAGATCGAGGTCAACCAATAAGCGGCTTGCTTGAGTCGGAGTTGAACTCTGAGCGAGCTCTAACTTGTTGATTTTGTACCCTGGATATTTGCTACAAATGGATCAAAAAGAGTCAATGAGCAACCTAGTTTTCATTAAATTCTTATTACTAACCACATTATTCCCGTAACAAAAATCACAATTGGAAAACAAGATTTCTGTTTGTCCCACCCTTAAAAACAATGCTTTTCGGAAACAAATTTTTGCTTCACAGTTAGCAAAGATGCCTTCCCACAAGTTTAGAAACAAATTATGTTTCCCGAGTGTGATTATATGTTATGGGATTATTACTAGGAAATAATGTTTCCTGGTTTGCTCACCTTCAGGAAACATGGCTAGGAAACAATGTTTCCTGGTTTGCCCACCATTGGGAAACATGGCTAGGAAACAATGTTTCTTGGTTTGCCCACCATTGAGAAACATGGCTAGGAAACAATGTTTCCTGGTTTGCCCATCTTTGGAAAACAGGGTTAGAAAACAGGGTTAGAAAACAGTGTTTCTTAGTACATCTTCGGGAAACATGGCTGGGAAACAGTGTTTCCTGGTTTGTCCACCTTCGAGATTCACGGCTAGGAAACAATGTTTTCTGGTTTGGCCATCTTTGAGAAACATGGCTAGGAAATGTTTCTTGGATTATATAGCTTCGGTAAACATGGTATAGGAAACAATGTTTCCTGGTTTGCCCACCATCGGGTATGTCAACAATGGGCACCACTGATATGCCTATATACAACTGCTACTTTTCTATTAATCGTGAACTCACCTGGGCGCAACATTTTGTAGCGAGGCCATGATTAGTTTGAGAATGTCATGTATAAATTTATCAAATGGACTTGACTCAGTATAAACAAAGATATTCCGCGATGCGGGACTGTCGCTCCATTTTTTAATGTCATGTGAGCCGCAGACATGGAAACCTTTCGTTACATGGCTGCGAGTAATAAAGCCAACCAATGTAGTTCTGTCTGGAGGCAGAACTGCACGTGGAGGATTCTGGTATGATGTCACGTGAACAGGCAGCAGGTCACGTGAGAATATTGAAACAAATCTTGTAGAACCTGGCACTAACCAATCGAGAGCGAGAAAACTGTCCCCGGGCGTGCAATAGGTAAAAATTTCCAAATAGGAATTCTTGTTCAAGAAAGAGTATTTGCTGAAAACTGTAAAAGAATTTGTGCTTCCATTCGACACCAGAACGAGGTTTTGGCCAGAAGACCGATGGCTGGTATGCAAATATATTTTCAATGAAAGCGAAGATCTGGCGCGGAATTGATAGAATCCAGGTTCCAGACTGGAAAACGAAACCAGAATCCGTTTTATTACAGTTGTATTATATACTCCGGTCCTTACAAAAGAGCTAAGGTTCGTTGTGCAGTACATCTCGTCGGGAAAGTTTGGAAATTTCGGCAGCCCCTCCAAATTTTCGAACGTTTTAGGACAAATATTTTCTGTCCATACAGCAACACTGAAGACGCAGTCAGGAACCGTTGGGGAGATCTGGCTGCTAGCCTGATAACTATCGACAGTATTGAACCTAAAGTCTCTGCTAAATCCATAGTATCTTCGAATTGCGTTTTCCTTTCTCGTGATCAAGTGATAAAACAGGCTCACTGACAGGAATGAAATACAGGCCAGACAAGATAGGAAAGTAAATTGATATTTAATGCTACACGATCCAAAAATCATCTCGAGAAATGAGCAAAAACTGAAACAGTTTGTGTTGGAGTTGAATGTAAATTTCCATTGCAACGTGTGGTGTCTTCATTTATGTATTATTGAAATGCAAATTTAAAGAATGATGAATAAAATTAACAAGGAATGATTGTTGTTGGAATTACAGATCATATGTTATGAATATAAGCTCTGATTTATAATATGCGACACATTCACACGTGTCTTGCATGCGCCATTACCATGGCAGAAGGAATAAGCATAAGGAGAATTTTAAGACTGACTGCCGACGCTTCATCAAAACTTTGTGATTTTAATAAAAAATTAAAAAAAACAAATTAAGTACGAAATAGCTTGAAAGAAGTTTTGGGAATTATTTTTAAAGGTATTGTAGGTATTGTCTAATTGAACATGTTAAGGGTTTCTTATAGGCTCAGATCTAGCCGTTGTGTTCTCGACCTAAAGACGAAAATTAATTAATTTGCACTCTATGATAACACGTGTACCGTCGGCAGAGTCGAGTACACACGTAAAAACGCACAAGTTGTTACTGGGCTGCAAACACGGTGTTCCAAATCTGTTCACAAGCTGTGTTCGCACTGCTTGTTCCCAGTTGTTGTAACAAATTTGGAACAAGCTATTAACAACTTCTAACAAGCTTGAGGACGGGAATCCCACAGTTTAAACAGGTTAACAAGTCTCTTAGGTAGCGTTTACACTGTATCGTTTTCGTAGCGTTCTCGTATTGTTCGAGAGAACTAGACTATTGTCTTGCGTTCCCTTGAGGATTAAGAACAATACGAGAACGCTACGAAAACGGTACAGTGTAAACGTTGCCTAAGACAGTTAACAAGGATACAATCTAGCCTGCGTAGCAGTTGCTTTATATTATTGTAGGTTTTGAGGATTTTTGAATAATAAAGCGACTGCTACGCAGGCTAGATACAATCATAATATAACAAGAATGTTACAAGGTTGATGACACGAGGTTGTAACAATATTGTTATATCATGACTACATTGGACTTGTTGGAACAACCTTGCAACAAGTCTGATAATAGAGAAGTTAAGATACCCCGGTTCCGGTTTACGGGTACGGGTGATATACACGTACCCGTACCCGTACCCGTAAATCGGGGAACGACTTGTCACTTAAGAAATCCAAGATATTCCGGCATGAGAAAACCGATCAGAGAATGGCAACTTTCGCAATTGAGGTTCGTCATTGATTGTTGAAAACTTTGACAAGTATATGTGCAGTATTATTGGATAAGATTATTGATAATTTTTACTATTTGAACGGCCGACAAATAGTAAACAGAAAGCACCCGTACCCATGTGTCTTTTACGTGTAGACAACGGTTTACCGCGGGGAAACGGGTAGAAATTACGGGTAAAAATGCTGACATCAGCAAAAATTGGTAAACAAAATGGCGATACTCGTACCCGTAAACCGGAGTATCTTAACCTCTCTAATATCAACAAGGTTGTTACAACTGTTAACAAGTTGTTCCATACTTGTTCACAACTTGGGACAAGCAGTGCGAACACAACTTCTTGACAGCTTGTTGGCAGACTTGCTACAAGATTTTGCGTGTGTACGTGGAAAATCCTGCTGTTATTTGAAAGACTAACCACGGTGCTACCAGAACCCCAAAAAGCTTTGCGCCAACGCGTGGGGATTGGAAACGACACCAACCTACAGATACGCTAACCACTTTATACGTCATTATTACGTCACTAATCATAATTATTCTAAGATTTGAAACCTCACAACTGCAGCTAATAAAACCGCGTAATAATTTTAACAAGTTTAACAATGGTTGCAAAAGTGCGAAAGTCGAAAAAGGTGGTCACTGTTGCACTCGTGAGAGATGCGGTTGCAGCTTTGTCGGAAAGAAATGGCTCGAGCGTAAAATCAGTACTTAACTACTTGGTCTGGAAACGACAAGTCAACTCTGGTGCACGCAAGCAAGTCGTTTTGGCGATCAGGAAAGCTGTGAAGGCTGGAGTTTTGGTAAAAAAAAGTGGAAAGGGTTTCGTGGTTTCTGGAAACAAGTTGGCCTCAAAGCCTGCGACGAAAGGTGGCAAGCGCAAGGCAAGGCGTGCGAGGAAGCGCACAACGAAAAAATCGTCCAAGAAGTCGACTCGCGCGCGCCGTCGTCGTGGTGGGCCGAAAAAGCGCAAGGCGCGCAAATCGTCCAAAGTGCAAAAGGTGCGCAAATTGTCAAAAAAAGTGCAGACATCTTCCACAAGCGTTGCGCGCAAGCCTGTGAAGTCGGGCAAAAGAAAAGTCAACCGCAAACCAAAAAGCGCAAATAATGCCAAAAGTGCCCCGAAGATGTCGGCGAGACCTCGAAGGATGTGTACCACAGCTGTACGATATACCAAATGAAATATATTGAACTTTGAAGATTATGTATTAACTTTATGTCATGCTATAAACTTTTGGAAAATAATCCCCTAGAGGAATAGAAGAGTCGAAGAAAACTATATATTGCACGATGAATTTTGTAGTAGTAAAAAGAAAGATTTTGTATTCATAATTACTGCAGCGAAATTGTTAGAATTGAATGTGTAAATCTTAAATCATGATAACTAATGCAAAATAAATCTATCACAAAACTAATATCACAATTAATAGCGTGCCAAAAGGTGTTAATGGCTCGAATGTTAGGTGTTTAAATTCGCTTAACTATCATGTAAATGTCCTTGCCCGTGCAATTTGAATAATATAGTTGATGTTCAATTTCTAGTCTAGACAATACGTGTCCATTCCCAACAATAACGAGAAACTGTCAAAACCTCTTTTAACAAGACAACACCAGGTGTTCCGTACTCAACCGCCCTGGAGTTAGCAAATATCCAATCCATTGACGATCATCATGAAGCCCTCACTAACAAACTATTCCAGAACATAAAGGAAAGTCCCGATAGCAAGCTGAAACACCTGCTACGGGAATGACATGAATCTAAAACTTATGACCTGCGGGTACAAAACCCCTTAGTAGTACCAAGAACTAAAACTAAACGTTTTTCTAACTCATTTATAATTGCTGGTAGTAAGGCATATAATCAATCAAATAAGAAATGTACATTTTAGGCTAACGAAATTTTTAAACGATTTTTATAAGGAAATTTTGTAAATATAATAATTTACTGGTATTTTAAGATTAGTAGAACCTTTTAGATCTTAGAGTAAATTACCTATGTAATAAGTCACACAATTCAGTTTCTTCTGCCATGTGATCTTAATTTTAATCAATCAATCAATCAATCAATCAATCAATCAATCAATCAATCAATCACAGAAGATTTGTGGTGGTCACAACAATGGGGACGGCATAAGGTTAGATCTATCTATTATTTCTTCCCCGAGGGGGGGGGGGTGGGCGCATAAGGTTAGATCTATCTATTATTTCTATGGGTTAGACGCAACAAAACATACATAACTACAAAAGAAGTTTACTTGGTATTATTTTATCAAATTAACTTTGCACATTCTGTACATATTGCTTGATCATAAAACAAGGAGAACAATTTCAAGCTCTATCTTGTCATCTTAGCCCCTCGTCCGCAGGCCTAAAATGATGGCCTGAGTTTACCGAGAGGCTATTGTCATCTGTACATACACTCAAATTAACGTTCATTTAACGTTGCACCAAGCTACCAACGACTGCTTGCAAGAACTTCCCACGATTTCACCAAAATAATGCCAATAATACAATTGCAACTGTACATGGAACACGTTCGGTTAAAAATGCTTGTTTGCTCAAGTCATGCACAATAGAATAAAGAAAGCCTAGTTCTTATTGGTTGTATTTACAAAAAATCTTGCTCTCTGTACTGCATGTAAATCAGTTACTAGCGATTGCAAAGAAGTAGCGACACTGTATCACGACCAAATTGAAACTAGAACTTAGGAAACTCGATCAAATACAATAGAACATGTCATGACCTTTTGCTGGCTTATGCAAAAATATGATCAGTTCATGGACATGTGTGTAGTGATTTTGGTCTGCACACGTAAGAACGCGCAAGTTGTTAATAGACCTTTCCCTTTATAACCAAAATTTTGATCTAGGCAAGTCTAGACAAATATTTCATCACAGCTTGAAAGAGCATCACAAAATTAGTAATATTCCAAAGTTTCGTTGCGAAATGTTGTAAAATGAAGAAAATAGAGCCTTGCGAAGTTTGCCGTTTTTCAGTCATTTTGCATTACGCGGGGGAAATTGACAGCCAATGCCCTTTGGGGCTGTCAATTTCCTGTTTGTAATACAAAATGACTGAAAAACGGCAAACTTCGCAAGGCTATATTATCCGCATTTTACAAGATTTTGCAACAAAACTTTGGAATATTACTAATTTTGTGATGTTTTTTCAAGCTGTGATGAAATCGTTGTCTAGATCGAAATTTTAGTTATAAGGGAAAAGGTCCATTAAGGTCGTTGCCAAGCTGACATTAGGGAGTTTAAGATCTTGACGACGAACTACCGACTACGTTTGAAATAGTTTTTGTTATATATATGCAAATACTAAATGTTTGTCATAACAAATTTATCCCAAATGTGTTTTATGTGCATGGTTTTGTGTTCGGTAAGTTTCATCTTTAATTTTCATCATGCATTTCTTTATAAAAATACTCTCCAACCTGCAACGTTGCGTAGTCAGTTGATTCTGTTTTACAACACAAGAATGTGATTTTACGCTGTAACCAAGGTCGCTACGGTGAAAAGTATGCTCTGGGGATATGTACATTTTGGTCTGCCTTTGTTAAATCAGTGCGAAAACAAGAGTTCAACCGTACTCCGTGCCTGTTGTTGGCATCTTAAACTCCCTAATAAGATGTATTCGCACTTGTTCCCAGTGGTTGTGTTACAAGGTTGATTACAAGGTAAAAGACTTGTTATACAAGTTGTTCCAACAAGACTAATACAAGCTGTTCGTAACAAGTTGCTACGAGCTCGTTGTGCACACGATATCAGACTTGTTGGAATAACTTGCTGCGAGTCTGTTGGCCTCATCAACCTTGTGACAAGATGGTAACAACTTGTTCCTAGCAGTGCGAACATATCTTGTTGACAAGCCGTGAGAATTTTACGCGTCTAATTACTCATTCGTCACATTGTATAATAATAGTTCATATAAGGACTGAGTTTACAGTATCAAAATTTATGTGATCACAGTAGCAATTTTGCATAGGTAAATTCTAAGTTTTGAAGTATTTGAGGAAACTGACTTGGTGTTAAACAATGAGTCAGCTCCCTGAAACATTTCTTACAAATCCTTCAAAACTTGGAAATTCCCATTTTCCCTATGCAAAATTCCTACTGCAGGGCTGCAAATTACTGTCGGACATCGGACAATGTCCGACTAAATTTGGCAAATGTCCGAGCAAAAGTAATTTTGAACGGACATTGGTCAGATCACAAAAAAAATTGTCACATTATACATTTTTTTGCTGTGACAAAATTCGATTGCAAATTCACTCAATTTGCATTTTGCAATAAAATTTACGAGGCATTCTAGCATTTTACTTTAACGTTGCGCCGAAATGGCTATACATACTTGTCTTGTAACTTAGCCTATATATATCTTGTGACGTATATATGTCCGACAAAATTTAATTTAGCGGTGTTGGTTTTTGTGCGACCAAATTCAAGTTATGCCCACCAAAATTAAAAGTGATCGGACAAATGTCCTGTCAAGTCAAATATTTATTTGCAGCCTTGCTACTGTGGTCACCGAAACTTTGATGTGAACCAGCCTTAAAACAATACTATTGGTCGGTCGGACGAAAACACAACACACGATGAATTGGCTAATTTTGGCATAATGTAAACAAACATTTCATCGAGTATTGTCTTTCCTAAACTTCTTTATTCTATTGGCTATGCTCGAGTTGACACGTGACATACTTTACACGATTACATGCGTGGGAAAAAACACGCGGGAAGATACACGCGAACTAACATTGCAAACATAAGCAACCGCCAACCAAGAAACAGGAATACTTAGAACCGAGGGATATGGAAGGACTCCTATGGTAAACTGTGAATGTGTGAGAACGTGGTACTAATGGAAGGGACTGGGTCGACCGCTCGCAGACCGGAAGTCATGATGACGTGGCAGGGGTTGTAATGACGTGTTGGGTACCTGGGAGACTGGCACTAGTTGTCGACCAATATTCTCCGGTGGAACCATTGAGTTTGTAACCTGTAGAAACAGAAGGAATGAATTTAGAAATATAGGAAAGAAAATCTATTATTGGCTCAATGCTACTACAAGGAGTTTCTCTTTAACTTTATTTATCAGCCCCAAACTGTTCTCCCTGCCTTATTGTGGTCGACTTTTACTACAAGAGGAAACCTACACGTACTAAACTATCTTTATACGGGATAACTCTATCAGTTTTGTCTAAACCATAGCAGGAACTAATGGTGGATCCTGGCATCTAGGATCCCAGAAAAGTTTCACACCTGACTTAGCTGGCAGAAAATTTTATGGCATCGACACAGAAAATAATTTATCGGGAAGAATATCAGTGAACTCGGCAGAAAATTGTGACCCCAAAAATGGAAGCCTGGTTTACACTATCAAAGTTTCTTAATTTTGCATGGGTATAAATTCTAAGTTTTGAATGATATGTAAGAAATTTTTGAGGCAAATGACTAATGGTTTAACACTAAGCCAGTTCCCTCGAACATTTCTTACAAATCCTTCAAAACTTAGAATTTTCCTTTGCAAAATTCCTACTGTCATCACAGAAACTTTGACAGTGTAAACCAGCCATTAGGATCCCAGAAATACTTCCTGCTATGGTCTAAACTAAGCATGCATGAAAGCATCAAGGTTGAGCTGTTTACCTGTCGCCCCGGAAGTGGTTGTGCAGACGTAACGTTGTTAAATTTTATTGGCTGCCCAATATTCGAATAAGATTTTCCAGCCAATGAACTCATCATATCTGATGACGTGACTCCAACTGATCTCGCACCAGGCAGAGACATAACTGGAGTGTTGACAACAATCGTACTTGACGAAGGAACATCGTCGTCATCAATATCCATCGCATCACTACTGCTTCCTGAAGAGAGAGGCAGAATGAAATATTTAGACTATGCTTGTGATGTTACTCTGAGTGCATATCCACACCGGGCAAGCTTGAAAAATATACCTGGCCACGGTGGGTATCGAACCTACGACCTTTGGAATACTAGCCCAATGCTCTGCCAACTGAGCTACGCGGTCAGGTCGGTTCGAGTATGTGATATTTCGGAACTGAGTCTAGTTCCTTCGATATCAGTGTAATCTAATAATCATGATATTCGCTGTGTTGGTGTAATGTCCAGGCATATTTTTCAAGCCTGCCCGGTGTGCATATAGACTCAGTAACATCACAAGCATCTTATTCACCTGAGTACATTACACCAACACAGCAAATATCATATTTAGACTATGTTTACACTACGATGGGCGCTTTGAAAAAGTCACAATTAGCCCTTCGCGTTCAAATGAGAAAATTTTATCCGGTTGGCTGGGGATAATTTGGTTGTCTTGACAGTTTCCAAACATCTTATGGCATGAAACATTCTTATGGCATGTCCCTTTGTGCTTCATTTATCCTGGCAACTGGGTCCTTGCAAAAGGGAAAATCTTTTCTAACAACAGTTCATGGCGGATAACTTTGCGCTTAAATTCACCCCCTTTTTATGTGGAGAAACGTTTCGCCTTTTCAAATAAAAAAAATATTTACACTAACCAGGTTCAGAAACAGGGCGAAGTGGAAGGTTTTGAGAATAACTGCGGTACGATGATGTAGGCATCAGAGATGGTTTGGCTTCGCGTTCTACAGTTGACGAACTTTGTAAACCTAGACAAAACAATAAAACGGGATAAAGCGCTTGACCTAATCATTGTCACTGTGCTAAGATTGTGAATAAGCGATACACTATGATTGTGAACAAGTGATAAAGTTATTTAGCTAATTTGTTACTTGATTATACACTGTACAGGATATAAATATCGGTTATCATACGAGGGGCGAGGCGATATCAGTTTTATCGCTTGAGAGACGATATCATAAATGTCACGAGTGAGCGCAGCGAATGAGGGACATTTATGACATCGTTCTGAAAGCGATAAAACTGATATCATCTCGTCCCGATTATGATAACCTGTTTATTATATACTTGTGCCTTTATCAGGATCAGAATTTATTAGAAAATTAACCATTGCCCCAACGCAAAACATTATTAAGATGGCGAGACAAAAAGCGATATCAGTGACAAAAAAAAGATATCTGTGACAAAAAAGATATCAGTGAGATATCATTTTTATGTCACCCTATTATCGCCCTGATAAAGAGATAAGCAATGTTATGAGATAAGCAATGTTATGTAACTTGCAAGTGTTTCTGACAGTTACATCACACTGAATGACAGATAACAAACAGCATGTGAACAGGGTCAGACCTTAATATCACTCAAGTTTCACAGATGAAAATATCATCGAAGATATGAAAGAATTTCTTCTATATTTTCATCTCCGATATGAGTACTGCATTACCACCACATTTTCAAGAAGAAATAGGCCAAGGCTTGAGCAACTAGGAAACACTGTTTCCTAGTCACGGCTCCCGAAGGTGGGCAAATCAGAACATGTTGTTTCCTAGAAACATCACTCTCAATAGGTTTCTCAATTTGTTAATAGACAGATTTAGATCGAGGACGCGGACGTCAAAGACGACGTGAAAATGGCGTCAAAATGGCGTGGCATATCCATACATGGGCACAACACGCCATTTTCACGTCGTCTTTCACGTCCGCGTCCTCGATCTAAATCTGTCTATTGTGTTGGGAAACCTTTTTGTTTAAGAAGGCTTGATGAAATTAATATTTGCGGTGAATGGCGCTACCAGCCTTTCGTACAACCGATCTCAGTAAGTGTAGTAGGTGGTGCCAATAATAAGAAAGCTGTGGATTGATAGGGATACAACTACCGGAACTATGAAGTTCTCCTTGTATCCCTATCAATCCACAGCTATCTAGTTACTAATTAACTATAGACATATATACTAACCGTGTACATTACTGGATAACGAGGGCCTATCATCATCCACGCGGTATCCCTCCTCAGGACTCACAGGTTCTATCCCACTTGTACTACTACTGACCCCTGTTGTTGGCAATAATGTACTCCCATATCCACTTGTGCTCACACTTGTACCCAAACTTCCGCGATACTTCACGACAGAGGATACAGGATCACTACTAGCCAATAGGCTACCACTGTCGGAAACACGTGACTGGTCGGCCGAGGTGACGTCGGATGAAGAAGGGCCTGGGGCAGCTTCTTTCTTTACCGTTGACCCAGTCGTGCGCTTACGACTCAGATATTCCGTTAGAGAAACCTGAAACGAATATTATGTTGTTTCAGGAACAATTTTTTAACTATGAATATTTATCTGTAGTGCAATATAACACAAGTCGAGTAACACAGGTTATGATGTAATACTGAGAGAACCATTACCTTTTTCTTTCCGCCAGGCGTAGTCTGTGTTGTGCTCGCTGCTCCTTCAACAACCCCACTTGACCCTACATGTGCTGTCTTATCCCTAGAATTATCATCTCTGGTTATACAATCCGTACTGGACTCTAGCGAGTTCTCCTGTACGGCTTGCGAAAACGGTGGTTTCCGATTCGCTTCCGAACTACTGCCGACAGCATTACCTAAATTTAGTTCAATTTTCGCACTATCGCTACTAGTACCCGTGGCGTCCATTTTTATATCATCAGTTGAACTGATACTTGATAAACTACTGCGACCAACGCTGATCTCGTCACTTCCGCCACTGATTCGTCTTCGCCAGCTGGCTTCTTCACTTCCGGTTACACGTGGAAATACCGCGTCGTTACTTCCGGTAACGGTCAATACGCCGGAAGTTGAAGTTCGTGTACTTGCTAACATCGTTAGCCTCACCTCACTCGTCGAAGTCGATGTCAAATTGTTTAGTGACGTCACATTAACTGAAGTCAGGGATGACGTCACCGGCGACGTCATAGGTGGTGACGCCATTGGTGAAGTCATCAATGACGCAAACGATGTGGTCGATGATGACGTCACAGTTGATGATATGGAGGTCGACGCGTTTACAGTGGATGAGACAGTAGCCGCATTCTCAGTCAAATTTTCACCAGTACTAATCTGTAATGTTGTCTTCACAGCTGTCTGTGAAGTTGAATTATTTACACTTTTCTGATATTCAATCAGTTTGCGCCGTTTGTACGGCAGAGGAAACGTCTTCGGGGAAACGGCAACCCGCAATATTTGACTCGGTCTGTAAACGTTCGTAGTGATCACTCCATTACGCGGCGTTACCTTGTTCGCAGCTCCTTCGTTCGCATATTGTAACAACCAGCGCTGAAAAGAGTTATATTGCATGGTTTAGCCCTGCGCAAACAACATCCAAACAACTTTGGATTCTCGAACTTTGGTTGAGATGCTACCGTGTATAAATATTGGTAAACAATAATAAATAAAATAATAATATAGCGCTTCATCAACAAAGATCATACAGGGGAACAAAACATGTTCCTAAATTTGCCGAGAAACACGTTTCTTTCTTGGGAAGCAAATTTTGTTTCTGTGACAATGCGTCAGAGTTGGCCAAGGCCTAAAATCTACATGGAATAGCCATTGCTGTCTTTACAAAAAAAAGAATCCTAGCAAAGTACAGTATATTTTTAAAATTATCACAGCGATGGATTTGGTGCGGGGGAGGAAGGCATGCACCCTTCCTAGCATTGGCAAAGGAGAGTGCAAAGGGGTGGGTAGGTGGGGGGATACGTTGGGGAGGGTTGTCAATTCCTTTAGTAAGACCCCCAAACCATGACCAAGGTTCCATAAGCACCTTGCTATTTGGCTGGATCCATCTCTAAATGATCTTACCTTTTTAAGCGTGGTATGCGTGGGATTTGACATGTATAGTCCCGAGTTTAAATTAAAAGAAGACACAGAGCTACCAGTGGGCGACGCCAGTTGATGACGCGAAAACATGTCGGGAAGATCAACGCTCTCTGAATGAGTAGGAGAGGCTAAAAAAGAAAAGTATTTCAATGAATATAAATATGCAATGCATATACTATATAACACCCACTAAGCAAGGTGCACAAATTGCCTGGTGCACATGCGTAAAAATCTCACATCTTGTAGCATTTCTGCCAACAAACCGTCAACAAGTTGTGTTCGCATTGCTTGTCCCAAGTTGTCCACAAGTTTGGAACAAGCTGTTACCAATTTGTAACAACCTTGTTGGTACCATCAGACTTGTTGCAAGGTTGTTCCAACAAGTCCGCTACAGTCATGATATAACAATATTGTTACAGCATTGTGTCATCAACCTTGTAACATTCTTGTTATATCATGACTGTATCAGACCTGTTTGGACAACCTTGTAATAAGTCTGATAATGCCATCAAGCTTGTTACAAGTTGTTGTTGTCCAAACAACTGGGAACAAGCAGTGCGAACACAACTTGTCGACAACTTGTGAACAGATTTGTAACAACTTGATTGCAGACCTGTTCGCCCCAGTTGTTGCGCAAAGTCTGGAACAAGTTGTTATCACCTTGTTACAAAGTTGATGACGGTAAACAGACTTGCTACAAGTTGTTCCAGCAAGATTAATATACAGGCTGTTCGCAACAAGCTGCTACGAGCTTGTTGTCATCAACTTGTGAACAACTTGTTACGTGCAGACGATATCAAACGTGTTGGAACAACTTGTTGTGAGCCTGTTCGCCTCATCAACCTTGTTACAAGATGTTAAACAACTTGTTCCAGACTTTTCAACAACTGTGAACAAGCAGTGCGAACACATCTTATTGACAAGCTGTGAAATTTTTACACGTGCATGGACAATGGACCATTTGCATTATAGACTAAATTTTGATCTAGACAAAAATTTCATCACAGCTTGAAAGAGCATCACAAAATTAGTAATATTCCGAAGTTTCGTTGCGAAATGTTGTAAAATGCGAATATAGCCTTGCGAAGTTTGCCGTTTTTCAGTCATTTTGTATTGCGCACGGGAAATTGACAGCCCAATCGGGTGTTGGGGCATCAATTTCCTGTTTGTAATACAAAATGACTGAAAATTGCAAATTTCGCAAGGCTATATTATCCGCATTTTACAACATTTCGCAACGAAACTTTGGAATATTACTAATTTTGTGATGCTCTTTCAAACTGTGATGAAATTTTTGTCTAGACTTGTTTAGATCAAAATTTAGTCTATAATGCAAATGGTCCATTGCTACCTACCATAAGTAGAATGGCAAGGACTCGACGAACAGTTGGGATCGGTCCTTGGCGATAAACCACCGTTGATTGTCGCATGAAGATTGCTCAGTGTATCACAACTTTGCTCATCAACTTCAACAAGCCGAGCCTCAAACGACGACTTCGAAGGACTGAGTGCCTCCATTAGGCAGCGACTTGCCTCAGGCGAGGGATTGTTGCTCCGTGAAGCGTCGATACTCGAGGACGTGACATCATTTAGGGAACCCTGGAAAAAAAAAGTTTGTCAAATATCTCTAGGGTATGATAAGTCACGAGCAAGACACAAAGGAAATAGGCAATTCCAGCTTTTAGTTTATGCGTTCAGGGGACGATGGGAAGTAAGGTATCATATTGCTGATTATGCTGAAAATATTGAAATGGTGGCCGTGTAAACACGGAGTGATAGCTTATACGTGTAAATATTGAAATACTTTGGTTGCTTCGGTAGTTTTTATTGAAATTTTTCAGCATAATCAGCACTATGATACCTTACTTCCCATCATCCCCTGCAGGCATAAACTAAAAGCTGGAATTGCCTATTGGCATCATCTTGTATTTGGAAACAAATAAATAGAATTTAAGCCTGTAACTAGCTATGAGTCCACCACTCGGTTATAGTGTAAACACAATACTAAGAAACGTAGTGAATTTTTAACGAAATTGATTTGTATTCAGAGCGGCAAATGTAGTCGTCCGTAGTTAGGACGCTACGGCAAACCACTCCATTATAGTGTAAACACAATATAATATGAGATAAAATATAAAATAATAGTCATGACGTCACATTTCTGACCCTGAACTCAGCATGCACAAGATAATGGACCACTTGCATTATAGACTAAATTTCGATCTAAACAAGTTCAGACAAAAATTTCATCACAGCTTGAAAGAGCATCACAAAATTAGTAATATTCCAAAGTTTCGTTGCGAAATGTTGTAAAATACGGATAATATAGCCTTGCGAAGTTTGCCGTTTTTCAGTCATTTTGCATTACGCGGGGGAAATTGACAGCCCAATACCCTTTGGGGCTGTCAATTTCCCGTTTGTAATACAAAATGACTGAAAAACGGCAAACTCCGCAGTGCTATATTATCCGCATTTTACAACATTTCGCAACGAAACTTTGGAATATTACTAATTTTGTGATGCTCTTTCAAGCTGTAATGAAATTTTTGTCTAGCCTTGTTTAGATCAAAAT